TTGGAATAATATAACCTAATTTCCATCCAAACTCTTCCCTTATTTGCTTTGTAGCCTTGTTCTGGTTACTTAACCTCTGTAAGTATCTTTTTAATTATCTATAAAGTGGAACAAAATATCTGCCTGATAAGATTATTCTGAGATTAAATAAAATGGTACATTTAACTTAAGCCCAGGACTTGCCACATTGTAAGAACATATTAAATAGGAATTATTATTGTTATGTCACCTCAACTGGCTCCATTTTGTACTAAGTTGTTTGGGAACCTTGCTCCAAAATCTTGGTTTGATAGATCCCTAGCAACAAAGTCTGTACCTTATTCATCTTTGCATGTGGAGTGTATGGCTTAGAGAACACTAGTTTACAGAATATCGGCATATATACAAAAGAAAACTTATTTTTTGTAAACAATATCATTTTATGGCTTGATTTTGTTCAGGGAAAGCATAATATGTTGCCAAGGTTTTGAATACCATGTAGGAATCCACACATCACAGCATTAACTTTCACTTATTTTCCCAAAGGGATACACTGTACACAGCATTCTCCAAGAGATATCCTCTGTACCAGGAGCTACTCTCTGACATACTTGGCTTAACTCTGCCCATTTCTATTCCCCTTGGACTGTCCATTATTATGCAAATAATCATTAAGACTGACCCAGTGATAGGATAATCATGAATCTACTCTAAATGAATTTAAAAACCATTTGGACACTACTATTTAATTGGTTTTATTATTGTATTACATGGTGGCTAAACTTCAAAAGTTCTTTGGATTCTGAAGGAGGTACCTTTCTCCTAAGGGAGGAGAGAACTTCCACTTTGACTATGACCCTGTCGGAATAAGATCGAAGTCAGCAAACTCAAAAGGCTTCCATAGCCTTGGCAACTCATGACTAGAGCCTAGGGAGATTACTGACGCCATAAACAAGAGTGTCAAATTGTTAAGTCAACAACAGGAGTCACTGTGTACTTACTCCTCATGTGGGAGATCTGTCCTTAAAGTGTTGTCCAATGTGAATTAATGCTATAACTAGCACTGAAACAGTATTTTACACTTTGTGTTTCTGTGTGGGTGCAGACTGATGGAATCTTAATATATACTAAATCGATCTTCTGTCTATAAAGAGAATTGAAAATTAATCTTGATGTGAATGGAATGGGAGAGGGAGTGGGAGATGGGAGGGGTGCGAGTGGGAGGGAAATTATGGGGGGCAAGCCATTGTAATCCATAAACTGTACTTTGGAAACATATTTACTAAATAAAAGTTTTAAAAAAAAGTTCTTTGGATTCTTCAAAATTCTTCAAGCTCAACATCTTTTATTTTTCACCGATTCCTATCAGCTTATCACTATACACTATTCCCCAGTGAAATGCTCTGTTCTCTTGGTTTCCATGGCACCAATATTGCTCTGATATTCTCCTCTTAACCAAAACTGGTCTTTTAAGGGCTGGTAATGACTATAAATCACCTCTTGTCAATCTTGCTTCCTCTGAATAACATTAAATAATAAAGGTGTTTCCTGGGGCTGGCACTGTGGTGTAGCGGGTAAAGCAGCCACCTGCAGTGCCGGCATCCCACATGGGCACTGGCTGCTCCACTTCCAACCAGCTCTCTGTTATGGCCTGGGAAAGCCATGGAAGATAGCCCAAATCCTTGAGCCCCTGCATCTGTGTGGGAGACCAGGAGGAAGTTCCTGGCTCCTGGCTTAGGTCTGCATAGCTCCAGCCAATCTCTAACTCTGTGTCTCTGTAACTCTGCCTTTCAAATAAATAAATAAATTTTTTAAAAAATAAAATAAAGGTGTTTCCTTAACAAGTGTATCTATTGTCTTGGTTTCTTTGACACAAACAACTACCCTGGACATCTTCACTCTCTAACCACTTCCGATTCCAGTCATCTGATTCTTTTTCCTCTCCCAACTGCAATCTTGGGATTCCCCAAGGATTATCCCCAAAGCCCTCTTTTTTTTCTCTCCTACCCTAGCTTCCTTGGTGATATTATACATTCCAGAACTTTAACCAACTCTTTCATGAGTACAGTTTCCACGTAAGTATCTCCTTATTGCTGACTCTGCCCAACTCTGATCTTATGTTCCTAATGCTGCTGGATCATTTGGAAGTTCATCTGGCGGCGCAAGTTCAATATACCTGAAGCATCAGCTTTCTTCCAAAATTAACTAATCATGACTTTATCAGTTGATCACTTTTCTCTTGAGTAGCCTTGAGTTAGTCTCTTAACATCCTTGAGTTAGTTCTGGTGCTTGTCTCTACCTCTATGTTGTTGTTTTTTTTTTTTTTTAATCACCCTTTTGTTACAAAAACCTGCCTACACCTACCTCTGTATTGTCTCAGAATCCTTCCACTCTCTATGTCTCCTGAATGATATTGCCCAACTGTAGATAGAATGCAGGACATTGTGCAGACTTCATAGCCTGGCAGAGGCAAAAGAGGCGTAAAAGCAGCAATTACAATGCAATGAAAGAGAAGTAATAAAGGTGATGTGTCCCAGGGAAGAGACAGTAGGGAACATATGAGCCAAATCTTGAAAGATGAATAGGAGTCAGCCTGACAAAGGAACAATGAACGTTCTAGAAATAATAACATGTGCAAAGGAATGCAGGAAAAGAAGACCGTGACTCATTGTTGAAGTGCAAGTGGGTCTCTGCCTGCAGCTCTGGCTTCACAGAGGAATAACGGGGGGAGGGGGGTGAAGGTGCAGAGATGGTAAGAGTAGAGGGAGTGCATTCAGGAAATTATTTGCTCTATAGCTGTGTACCAAACTACTGTAAAACCTCAGGCCTTAAATGAACATCACTGATTGTTTTTCACAGTTCTCCAGTTGGGTTGCAATCTCAGTATGATTCTTCTGTGCTCCATGAGGCATGGGTTGGCATAGCTTGACTTCAGCAGAAGGATCCAAAGTCCTCACTGACATGACTGGCACTTTAGCTCAGGCAATGACTAGACTTCTCTTTCTCTTTCCACACGATCTCTCAGTGTTCAACAGTCTGCCTCCAGTTTCTTTACATGGAACTTCTATCATAAGAGGTAAAAAATGAAAACTGCACAGTTTCTTATGGCTTCAGCCCGGAGGTCACATGATGTTCCTTCCCTCACCTTCTGTTGGTCAAAACAAGCCCTCCTTGGCTTCCAGAGAAAGAAAACTAGATCCCACCTCCCTTTAGGGGGAGCAGAATGAATGTTGAAAAGGCTGTTGTCGGCTGGCGCCGCGGCTCACTAGGCTAATCCTCTGCCTTGCAGTGCCAGCACACCAGGTTCTAGTCCTGGTCGGGGCACCGGATTCTCTCCCGGTTGCCCCTCTTCCAGGCCAGCTCTCTGCTGTGGCCAGGGAGTGCAGTGGAGGATGTCCCAAGTGCTTGGGCCCTGCACCCCATGGGAGACCAGGAGAAGTACCTGGCTCCTGCCATTGGATTGGCGCGGTGTGCCGGCCGCGGTGGCCATTGGAGGGTGAACCAACGGCAAAGGAAGACCTTTCTCTCTATCTCTCTCTCTCACTGTCCACTCTGCCTGTCAAAAAAATAAATAAAAAAAAAAAAGAAAGAAAAGGCTATTGTCTTTGCAGATGGTCTACCATGGGCCTTACAGATCACTGCATCCTGTTGTAGGAGTTCAGGCAGCAAACTGATATTTTAAACTTATGTTTAAAAATATGCCTTTGAGGGGCTGGTGCTGTGCCTTGGTGGGTGGGGCCAACTCTGCCTTTCAAATAAATAAACAAATCTTTAAAAAATATGTCTTTGACTCTTGTATACAGGTTGAATTCAGTGGTCAGGGGAAAGAGATCAGCCTTAGAAAAGTGTCCTCCATGATTGCATAAACCTTGCCATAAGTTTTCCTCCTCATGGAAATAGATGGACTTAATATATTGGGCCTGATAATTTTCTTTTTTCGAGGCAAAGTACCCCCAAAGTACTGTCCAGGGCTCTGTTCTGCTTCCAGAAAAATGGATTCATGTTAGCCATGGGGGAAGAAATGCTTATAACATTGCAAATCCTCTGCCTAAAATGTTTTGGTTTAAAAGTACTAAGTGCTTGCTTATTTTCTATTGCTATTTCTATAAATAAACCAGGAGAATCAGGAGAGACATTCAAGGCAGGTAGAAATCTGCTTTGTATTTCCAAGGGCTTCTCCTATGTCAAAATGTGTGTGTGTGTGTGTGTGTGTGTATGCGTGTGTATGTGTGAGACTGTACAGTGAGTGTAGACATTTTATTTCTATGAAAGATGAATGCCTTAATTCTTGCTTATAGCCTTCACTGCATGTTCTACAGGAGCAGTGGCTATGAAAAAGCCCCAGAAAATGCATAATCTGAAAGCTTTCATTACACCATCATAGTACTGAAGCCTCTTTCTGAGCACCAATTTTAATGGGTAGGCCAAGGCAATTATAACTTGGCCAAAAGAGAGACCAGTGCTTAGAGATCTAATGCTAATTAAAACTTCCTGCAGCTAACTGAGTTCCAGGGTCTGGCAGGAGGCTGCCCTTTTTAGTTTTCAGGAGTTCCTAGAGCCCTTTCACCTGTATGATTCCAGCTCCAGGATTTCAATGTATTGGTACAAAATCCTGAAATATGGTCCCTCCTAGACAATGTTCAGCTACTCTCTGGGCATCACCAAACACCTGGTTAACGCTAAGTGAGCATCAAAATGATGGGTATCAGTATGTTTATTTCCCCCTGACAGGTCCAGAGTGCAGTCCAGAAGCCAACTTTCTTTGGAGATATTTTGTCTCAAATTCCGGTTTTGCCACTTCCTAGTAATGTGACTATGATAATTACTTTAAGCACTGGTTCCCACTACTGTAAATTCTCAGTAATAATTGCATCCTCCTCGTAGGATTATTGTGATGGACTTAAAGGACATATATTTAGAGCACTTACTCCAGTGTTCAGGAGGAGTGCTGAATACATTTTAACTATTATTGTTTTAATGACTTCCTGCTGATCTTTGCTGTGTTTCTCTCTATTTCTCAGGGAGATGTTAATCTCTGTGGCTCTGGGCCAGGTGTTATCCCTTCTTATTTGTGGAATTGGCTTGACCAGCAAGTACCTAGCAGAAGATTTCCATGCCAACACACCAGTCTTCCAGAGTTTCCTCAATTACATCCTTCTTTTCTTGGTGTATACTACCACACTGGCTGTCAGACAAGGTAAGCTTGCAAATGCATCAAGGATGATGAGTCGCAACTATATCATTTTTTTCACTTATGTCAGTAATACAATTCAAAACTCCAAATCTCACTTTTCTATTTTTCAGTAATACAGCAAACAATATGAATGAATAGATCACAAAGAAACATAAATTGTATAAATTCAGTGGAATGTAAGAAATGCAGGTATACACAGAAATGTACAGTTTCCCAGTATTTGAATTCCTTTTAACATTCCTTGTACTTCTCAATGAATCTAAATACCAGCTGTCTTGGAACCTGGAACAGGTCCAATTGCAGCTATCCTACATAATACCAGTTCTGAGACATACAAGGGAATTGCAAACAAACATATGTTATTTGGGAAAGTGACAAAAAGAAAGATAAAATTGTAAACACAGTAATTCTGGTAACAACACATGGAAGGTTAAGAAGACTACCATAAGTGGTCAGGTATAATATTAAATTATTTTAAGTAAAAATAAGGAGATCAAAAAAAAAAAAAAAAAAGGCCTCTAAGTGTCAGTGTGAGCAAAACTTTTCTAAGGGGCTGTTGCAGTTGAAAGAACTCAGGAAAACCCCTGGAGGGCATGCTTTATATATGTGCTGCCGAAGCCAGCACTGGAGGGCATGCTTTATAACCTTGTAATTATATCACTGGTATAAAAGCTTTCATATGTGACTCAGAAGTAGCCAATAATTTTCCCCTAAACTAGCTGTTGACAATAAAATATGCATTGAAAAATAATCATTAATACATTGGAAGACTATTATACAACTTAATAACAAATAAGCTGTTTATATAAATGTTAATAGTGACACTTTTTTAAAGACCTTTTTAGCTGTAATTTTTATATTTCCTTATTTGGATTCTAATCATTGAATCTTAGCTGTATAGACTCTGCATGATTTGGAAGCTAATCATTTTGAATTGTATGAATGTGTTATCTAACAGTTATCCCCACCATTTCATCCTTGGTGTCCCAAACCAACACAGGACTCCTCAAGAATGGAAATGGAAGTAGTATATAATGGGAAAAGTACTTATGATATACTGTTAACATGAAGAATGTTTAACTTGGCCATATCAGAAAGAGGGAACTGAATCAAGCTTAATAAGAGCTTGGATCAATATTAAAAGAATAAAACTATTCAGGAGTATAATTGATTAATAAGTTTAAGTTCAGAACACCTTTGCAATACCCTAATATTATTATAGAAATGTTATGTGAGAGTGATAAGTTTATCTGCCTTACTGGATTTTTAGATCCAAAAGGTCTACACTAAGTAAATTGTAGTGAGTCTTTGGTTTCTTGTCCAGCTTGCTTTCTAGAAGTCCTGAGATTTAATGAAACCTACATCAGAAAAAAAAACTAAGCCATTCTGAAAGAGAACTTAAAAAATTTAAGGTAGAGACCAGAAAACATGGAACACTAAATGTAGAAAAAGAGCCAAAGTTAATGATAATGCTACCACATACCGAGCCTTCATAATGTGCCAGCCACTCTCTTTTATTCATTCAGTTCAAGGAAATAGTTATTGTTTTCCAAAATTTTATAAATGAGGAAAGCAAGGCTCAAATGGCCCCTAGAACCTACTCACAGATAGGATTAAGGAGTGATGAAAACGCCTGGAGCCTAGGCTGTGAGGGCTGTGCACCTGCAGGGCCCACCCTTTGTCTCCATGTTCGTTTCAAGGGAGATCACAGGAGGGCAGAGAGACTCTTTCAAACACAAGGAAAAAAATTTATCCTGAATTTCAAAACCCCCGAATAAAAAAACCAGCCCTGGAGTATTAAGTCTAAAGAGATACAGTAGTGTAGTCAGGAGCCTGTCATACACAAATTAGGGAGAAGGTGAGTGAGTGGGCAGGAAGAAAAATGAAAAGTGACCCCAAACTAGGAGCAGCAAGAGATTTGGAGGCTCATTGGAAAGGGAAGGCTAAAAAGCCTGAGGAAATTCTGTTGATCTCAATTGCTGATAGAATTTCTAAAAGGCTCTATAGAGATGTTACCATTGCCTCAGATTATCACCAAATTTGCTGGCGTGTCTATAGTTGGATGTTTACTCAGAGTGTTTATTTGTTTTAAGCTTCATCTTTAGAGGTTTGAATAGGCTGGCATTAAGCTCACATCTGGAAATCAACACAATAATTACATCACTCTTGCATAGGCTAATTCAATCCTGTGATCTGGAAACATCCTCATCTTTTCATTTAGGCACCTCAAGATTTAGGGGGAATTGGACAAAAGAGTCTTGTGTACACAGGGGAAGATCTTTTATGGCCACAATTTCACCTCCCTTCCCAGAGCACTACGAGGGGTGCATGTTCTGAAAGGCACTGGTCTTCCTACCTCTCTGAGCAGTCATCACCTACCCTGCTAGGCACCCAGATGAATTTCATGCCACCTTGGGACACATCACAGCAAGAAGTTAGACATCAGAATATATTTTTAAACAAATCTCTCTTTATAATTTCACTCATACAGTTTCTAAAAATTTATGATTGTCACACTTAAACACAATGTGATAAATGAAAGAAGCACTTTAAAAGCATTAGTGATGATGTTGTTACAAAAACCCTGCCAAAAATTGACTTCAAAGTTAAGCTGAATTCTCCTTATCAAATTTGCATTGGGCCAACGATCAAAGGCTGAAGGAAGAGGTTCTAGTATAAGATCCAGTATGAACTGAAGCTTTGAACTTGCCCTTGAATATTGATTTATACAAAAATTTGAGTATCATACTCTTAAATTTTTTTATCTATTGAACAAATTTTAAGTCTAGTTTTTTTCATGATTGGAACTAGCTTTTCTTACAGATGGTTCTAAAATTCAAAAAATTGTTACTGTTCACAGAAAAGGCTTCAGTAATTCAACTTTGTAGAAAGAGGTGTATTTCAAAAGGTAGTTGACATTATATTGTTTGAGAAATTAGATGCAATTTAGAAAGCTATTACTTCGATAGTTTAATTGTAACCCATTTAAGAAGTTATTCAGGAGATTAAAATATACCCATTGAAATGCTTCTAAAAACCCAAATAATTCATTTAGTCCATACAAAGTATGACTTTAGGAATATCAAGAAAATACAGTGAAGCTTCCAAAAACATATGGATTTTTCTAGGAAGTTCTACTCTTTATCTGCAATCCCCACTTTCCTCATCAATGAGTAATTTGTTGGTGGAAAATGAAAGAGTAGATGCAGAAAGTAAAAAGAAAAGGCTTTTAGTCCTTGTTTTCTTCCTCAAGTCATGAATGGAGTCACAAAGGACAGCCTGAAGAGGATCAGAAGTTTCTGCCTCTTTTTATATACAAGCCCTGGAGAAAATAAGTTGTCACCACCACTGAGCATTATTAGAGTAACAAACAACATTAGTATTCTTGGAGACTGGTTCTGCAGGTTTTGCTTTTTCACTGAGAAGTATTTTTATAAGCTCTTCCAATTTTGAATAAAAGACAAGCTCCCAGCTAAAAGCAACCTAATGAGTATGGCATGTATTTTGCTTCCAAGTGAATTCTTGAAACATAAACATGAAAGTATTTATTGAATCATTTATATATTTCCTTATGTGAATGTAAAAATAAAACACATCTCTAACAGTACAAATGGAGCACTCAGAAATATCACCTTGTAGAATTATTTTCATTTTTTTCAAAAGCAGAATACCAAAAAGTGGATTGCGTGTCTTATGCTTCAAGAGAAGTGTTCTCATTTTGAACATTAAATTTCAGAAGATGGAAATCTTAGAGGTCCAAGTTCAAATCTGAGTATGGAAGAAACGGAGTCAGTTGGGTTTTGTAAGGACTCACCATCTGCCAGTCCCTTCTTACCACCATCGTCCTCTTGCCACCTGCAGTTCTGAAGTAGTTCAAACGAAATGAGAGAAATATCTAAAAACAACAGCTTTGTCTATGCACAGTAGCTGGTTGTAACTCATGTCCAATGGTCCCCAGCCTTTTAAATGAATGTGTCACAGAAAGTGCCAAAAAGGATTTCTCCTTTTTTGTTTTTGTTTGAGAAAGCAAGGCGGGTCTGCAGATTAGTGGTGGCTAAGGAAGCGTTAATGGGAAGGTAATAATTGCCTCTTCCAAATCAGGGGCAGGCTTCATATTTGTTCTCTTTGGAAATATGACACTTCTTACATACAATTAGAGACTCTCTATTACCAATATGGCAAGATTTAGAATATTTATGTAATGAGAAGAAATATAGGACTTCATACGAACTAAGTCTTGGAAACTTCACGGTCTGTCACATACTAAGAGTCACCTGCAGCTCTCCCCTCCCTGGTTCTGTGGTTACTGCTCTGCTTCTGTAAATCTTTGGCCTTGTCTTCATTTAATGCTTACTGTAGTCAGTGAAAATCACAGACTAGAACAGTAAACAAAATTATACCAGGATCTAGGATTTTCTGCTCTGCTCTCACAGCCCAGATCCAAATTCCCTGGATAACCTTGACTGAACCCCTGAAGAGCAAGGATTGTCCGTGGGTTGGCAGAATAAGAAAGCACTTGGTGAATATAAATACTGAATTATAACTCCTCTGGGAGCCGTGGAGGAAATATTGCTGTCAGTTACTGAAGTCTGGTGAGGTAGTATTCATTGGACACTCTTAAAAAAGTTCCCCTTGTGGGAATTACTTGGCAAACCTCCATTTCTGTTCCTTGTCAGGTCACATTTATTTTTATTCTTAAATATGATTGGAGGGCTTTAGCCCCCATAGCATAGAAAGATTGTACCTCAGGGATTTCTGAAATGAAATGAATCCTTGGTAGCTGCTCCACAGGAGGAACATAAGCAGCAGTTCATGTTGTCAGGGAAAGAAGAGGAGCAGGTTTGGGGTTGGCGGTGTGTGTGTGTGTGTGTGTGTGTGTACACACTAGAAATTTGGTGGAGAAACTCACAAGAGTAAATCAGAACACACTTTTAGCAAACTCTCTTCAAGTAGGTAGAGTAACCAGAAGTCTCATCAATTGCTGGTGGGAGTGCAAAATGGTA